GAGGCACAGGTTGATCAGTTTGTTACTACAAAGAAGCATTGAGGCACAGGTTGATCAGTTTGTTACTACAAAGAAGCATTGAGGCACAGGTTGATCAGTTTGTTACTACAAAGAAGCATTGAGCCACAGGTTGGTCAGTTTGTTACTACAAAGAAACATTGAGGCACAAGTTGATCAGTTTGTTACTACAAAGAAGCATTGAGGCTCAGATTGGTCAGTTTGTTACTACAAAGAAGCATTGAGGCACAGGTTGATCAGTTTGTTACTACAAAGAAGCATTGAGGCACAGGTTGATCAGTTTGTTACTACAAAGAAGCATTGAGGCACAGGTTGATCAGTTTGTTACTACAAAGAAGCATTGAGGCACAGGTTGATCAGTTTGTTACTACAAAGAAGCATTGAGGCACAGGTTGATCAGTATGTTACTACAAAGAAGCACTGGCACTGAAAGACTTACTCTAGTGGGGTTTGAAATTCCTGAACAAAATCAAAACCCCCTATATGTAATAGGAACACGTCAAGCCAGTGGAATGGGGGGGTGGTAGCTACCGCACAAGAAACGAAATAAGTTATTATAACAAATATCGGCATGCACGGGTTAGAAGATCAGTTTGTTACAACAGAAACAGACGTTGAATATAAGATCAGTTTATTACAATACAAAAATAAACACCGATTATAACTCGTACATTGGCCATGTGTTACAAATAAATAGAAAACAAAAAAAGGATGTTCTTCTTCTGGTGATTTTAAATAATTTATCATTTTACTATTTGTTTGTGGTATACGTCCCCTTTCCCCTTTTTTTTATACTGACATAAATCAGATTGCTACTATAACCCGGACTGTGAATCCGACAGTTCATGGTTAGCGTTCCTTTTTAGCGAAAACGTGCTCCGCACTTTGGGGTAGTAAATGCGCTATAAGAGTGACAGTCAAGTCCCACTACTCGGTCAGATAAGGGTAGCCCAAGAGTTGACGGAGGGTGTTTTGAACTAGTTGCTTTCCATCTATTCTTTCAGTTCAAAACTATACACGGCTGATCATACAAAAGCAGATTACAATAATGGAGATTAGTGTTAATCGGGTTATCATAAAAGTTTGTTACTGTAGAGATTATTTAAATCCAGATATTAGTGTTAATCGGATTATCATAAAAGTTTGTTACTGTAAAGATGTTTTTGATCTGGAGATTAGTGTTAATTGGATTATCATAAAAGATTGTTACTGTAGAAATTATTTAAATCCGGATATTAGTGTTAATCGGATTATCATAAAAGTTTGTTACTGTAGAGATGTTTTTGATCTGGAGATTAGTGTTAATCGTATTATCTTAAAAGTTTATTACTGTAGGGATGTTTTTAACCCGAAGATTAGTGTTAATTGGATTATCATAAAAGCTTGTTACTGTAGAGATTATTTAAATCTGGAGATTAGTGTTAATCGGATTATCATAAAAGATTGTTACCGTAGAGATTATTTAAATCTGGAGATTAGTGTTAATAGGATTATCATAAAGTTTGTTACTGTAGAGATGTTTTTAATCTGAAGATTAGTAGAAAATTAATTATGACCTCATCCATGACACCGGAGAATATTAGATAGAACAGAAGATATTAACTACAACACATGGACACAACTTAGTATGTCGGAGATTAAGACCAGAAGAAAACGCGAGAAAATCTTAGAACATTAGATGAGAGAAAACTGCAAATGTTGTCACGTGTATTTCATTTATCGTTTGGTATTTTAAGAATCAAGAATTTGGGACAATGGAGATTGACGTTGACAGAAGATAAAAAAAACTCTGAAGTTTGTCTTACGAAGTAACTTCGAGAAACAACTTGATAAGATCCGCAGCTTGTGACTCGAGAGTTGATTAAATAAATAGAAATATTATCAGAAGAGTCTATCATTATTCTCTGAAAGATTGACTCCGTTACTCATAAAACAGGGATTGTTTACCATAAAACAGAGAATAACCATCAGAAAACACTGATTGACAAACACATAAACAAACAATAGTCATCATAAAACAGAGATTATTACCATAAAACAGAGAACAATCACCAGGAAACATTGGTTCATTAACACATAAACAAACATTGGTCATCATAAAACAGAGATTATTACCATAGAAACGGAATTGACTAATATAAAACAGGAATTGTTTACCATAAAACAGAGAATAATCACCAGAAAACATTGATTGATTAACACATAAACAAACAATGGCCATAATAAATCAGAGAATATTACTATAGAAACAGAACTGAGTAATATAAAACAGAGATTGGTTACCATAAAACAGAGAATAACCACCAGAAAACATTGATTGATTAACACGTAAACAAACAATGGCCATAATAAATCAGAGAATATTACTATAGAAACGGAACTGAGTAATATAAAACAGAGATTGGTTACCATAAAACAGAGAATAATCACTACCAAACAATGGTTGACTAACATATAAACAAACAATAGTAATCACAAAACAGAGATTATTACCAGAAACGGAACTGACATATTATAAAACAGAGATTGGTTACCATAAAACAGAGAACAATCACCAGAAAACATTGGTTCATTAACACACAAACTAACAATGGTCATAATTAAACAGAAAATATTACCATAGAAACGAAACTGACTTATATAAAACAGAGATTGGTTACCATAAAACAGAGAACAATCCCCAGAAAACATTGGTTCATTAACACACAAACAAACAATGGTCATAATAAAACAGAAAATATTACCATAGAAACGGAACTGACTTATATAAAACAGAGATTGGTTACCATAAAACAAACTACTACGAAACCTGCATACAGAATAGAGAACAAAAAATGTTTGTTAGCTGAAAAAACGCTAATTCTTATTAGCTAAAAGTATCTGAATTGTTTTTATCTGGCTGAACTACGACGTTCTACAAATTCCTCATTAGAGCGAGGGCACAGTTTCTCAATATTCGTATTAATTATGTATATATATATATATATATAGTATTAGTTGATAAATGCTTCAGGAACTGCTATCACTCAAGGTTATTGATCAAGGGCGGTAACAAGGTGGATATGAAAATAAAAATTAACAAAAAACAATTTAGAAGATCTGCCACTGTCTACTGTTTAATTACAAGATTCTAATAAGCAGTGGCGGGATTATGAGGGGACGTTCCCCCGTTTTTTTTTTTATAACTTTCTGTCGCGTAATCATGTCGTTGCGTCTAAAACTGTCAGGAGAACAACCTGAAATTTATGGACTTTCAAAAGCAGTACGTGAAATATCCAAGATAATGAAATCTAACGTTGTTTCATGAATGTTACTTTCATTTTATTGCTATTATATATTTTATTACAAGGATTATTTCTGCATATAAAGATAAAAGAACTTTATTGTTACAAGAAAAAAGTCCATAAATCTGGAAAATACTTTCTCAACTTTTGTCGAAATTTATCATAACTACAGCTACTCATGTGTCTAAACCTAAATAATGTGTTGGAATAATTCTCTAGTTTTTTTACTAATTCTGCAACACCAAGATAACTAATAATTATTTTGTATTGTTAGCTTAAAATCTTCCAAACTAGCAGAACTTCGTGAGATATTATTGGAATTTCGGCCGAAAACGTCGTTAATAGCTAGGGTACTTGACTGATTAAACAATGCATTCTAAAAGCCCCCCCCCCCAGTGGCACAGCAGTACGTCTCTGCGGACTTACAGCACTAGAATCCGGGTTTCGATACCCGTGGTGGGCAGAGCACAGATAGCCCATTGTGTAGCTTCGTGTTTAATTACAAACAAACATTCTAAAATAATAAATAAATAACACAACGTTGAAATAGAAACACAATTTAAAAATATTGTAATTTAGACCAATTTGTGGCCCCTAAAAAGTTGACTCTACAGGATTTCGAAGTTTCAACGTCATCATCAAGATTGAAACTGCAAGACATTATAGTTTTATATTTATACCTTTTTAACTAGATTATGTGACCTGTTTGTAGGATTATTATTCCTACATAATTTTTAGAGAAGGTCCTGACACATTCTTACACAGATATTCGCCAGATCTCCTCTAAAGATAATGTAGGAATAGTAAAAACTTATACATATCATTGTTTTATTGTCTTACCTACCCAAAACTTACACATATCATTGTTTTATTGTCTTACCTTCCCAAAACTTATACATATCATTGTTTTATTGTCTTACCTTCCCAAAACTTACACATATCATTGTTTTATTGTCTTACCTACCCAAAACTTATACATATTATTGTTTTATTGTCTTACCTTCCCAAAACTTCCTTTTCCAATGGCTCTGAGGATTAGAAAATCTTCAAAATCCACTAAAAACAAGATAATCCAAGTTATTATAAATGATAATACTGTAAAATATTTTAAACAAGAACGTAATGATAGAACAGAATGAACGACAAAGTTTGCTATTATTTTTATCTACGTTTTTCTTGTTCCTCTTATGATCTTTATTGTAAGTTATTTTTCATATCAAACTATTTCATTTGGATTATTAAAAAGAAAACAATGGCCGTTGCGGGCAATTTATTTGTTGCTATTATGTATTGGCAGTTTCGGGTAATTAATATGTATCAAGTAATATGGACTACTTTTCTCAGGTGACCCCGTTTTGTGCATTAATTTAGAGAGTATGCCATTTGACCCACAGATTCTGTATGTGTTATTATATATATAAGTATCATTTAGCTTGTGTTTCTTTTCATATACATTAACATTTTGTGGGTAAGAAGATATACAGAGATTGGTCATATTTCACATGTTTAAGTACGTATATTTGATTGTTTAGGATGACTCCTCAACATATAGTACCTGATACGATACAATAAAATAATGATGAAAATTTCAAAATTGTCGTGATAACAAATGGATTTTGAAAACTTGTGTCTTGTGAACAATAATATGTGACCAGCGCGTGTCAGGCTGAACGTGACACTTTTGTTTTTCAACTCTGACTGATTTTTTCTCAAATCAAATTCAATTAAGACCAATTAATTTAGGAAATAGGGGCTCTTAGTTACGACACTAAATAAAATTAGTTATTCGATATCAAGCCAAAGTGTTTTTTAAAAGCACTAAGTACGAGATGTGTTTACGGTGTTACATTTTGGAGAACCATTGTTTAGGATGGGTAGAACTCTGTTGTTAATTTTTTGTTAGTAATTACACTGGAGGCTACACTTTTACTACACATTATCGCGTTAGTTAATTTTTTTATACTGATTATAATGATTGGTCACAATTAAATACCATTGTGTGAGTAAATAATTAAAATCAGGATTATTATTATTACAAAGAAAACGTCATATTTAAAATGATCCTATCTAGAGAAAACAGTAGAACAAAATTTTATCAGGTTGTTTTGTTCTTTAACACTAGGATAGCTGTGCTCTGACTACCGCGGGTATCGAAACCTGATTTTAAGCATTATAAGCCCTCAGACTTAACACTGAGCTACCAGGGAAGCGACCCCAGTGGCACAGCGGTATGTCTGCGGACTTACGACGCTACAAACCGGGTTTTGATACCCGTGGTGGGCAGAGCACATATAGCCCATTGTGCTTAACTTCAAACAACCACAACAGCATCAGAAGCAAATTGAGAAACGAGTTTTATAATTGTCACTGTACTTTTAAAAACTTTAGAAATGATTTTAAATTAGCCTTTAACATAAAGAGCGACATCTATTTTCTTTATTACAACCTCCTCACCTTCCCTATTTTCCGATCTTCGATCCTGTTCTTTATGCTTCTTTTTACTCGTGGACTGACCACTGCCCATCTTGACAAAAAGAAACTTTGGAACGATATTACCATTTCACGTGGACTCAGTCATTAAAATCATCGTTTCTACGACAGGATTGGTTCTGTATTTTTTTGTACTTAAACAATCGTCCACATCGCTAATGTCTAAACGCTTTTAACGATAAAGGTTTTAAAGATGGAAACTGGGTTTGTTGTTTATTTTTGCGATATCTCTTTTTACTTGAAAATTGTTTTTGTTTTTTTTAATTATTAATCGAACTTTGTTCAATCAGTTATACAAACCTTTTTATTTAAAGCATCTCAAGTATACTACTGTACCAAACTGCTAAGCGTGGGTAACTGATGTCCAGTTTCATAACATTAGCATCACTTAGTCACAGTCCAATCGTCCAAAAAAGAACAGCGATGTCTATTTCCCCTCACCAGATGTCTCAGACTTCTATTACTGATTAGTTACGCGTGATTGCTGAAATCGTGGAGCTTACACTTCCTTAATAAAAGCCTAAGCTTCATCATTTGTTGCACTAAATGTTACCGAAGTCGAAGATGCCTTCACAGCATCATCCTAGCTCTATTCGTCGGATTCGTCTACCGTTCAAATAAGCATTACTTTACATTTCATTTGATCGACTGCAACGCTAGCACGATTCCCCTAAGACCAATCCCAGCAGCTCGTGCGGTAAGACGAAAACAACACCTCCAAAGTTCGAGAACAGTGAGCGCGTTCACTCCCTGTCAGTAGTGTGTCTCTCAGAAGACTACGTGGCCCGCGCTTCTCGCTGCCTGGTCGTCAATATCTGGGATATGAGCTGCAAAAAACAGACAAATCCCTTTATTCAACAGTTATTAAAGTAATAAATTACTATACTATTTTTTTTTATATTTAGTTTAATTTATAATAGTTCTCATATCAAAATAAAAGTAAAACTAAGGCTACGCAACAACTTACATTTATTAATGTCTAAATACCTTGTTTCGCTTTATTTATTTATTTTTTTGGGGGGAAGAGGGGGAACTTCATGTGTGCCATAAAGCTAGCAGAAATAGTTTTCTGTTTGTTTTCCAATACGTCAAGGATCGGACATGGTTCACGGAATAGCTATAAATCAGAGTTTTCGTGGTTTACGGTCCCTTGCTACAAAAACACGCTCCGCCCTTTGGGCCAATTGGTGTGCATTAAGAATGACGGTCATATCTTATTATACAATCATACAAGAAATGGTGGCGTTAGGAATGCGCGGAAGTGCGAAATCCCCGGAACTTTGGTGCATTTTGATGTTACCAAATACTTTTCCTGTATTCCTAGCCTATAGTAATAGAAATGATATTTGTTGTTACAAATTGGTTACACGTAGAAAACGGTTAACATTTTTTTAGGCCCTAGGCAGTCAGCGGGCACTGGTACTTCAGAGAGAGTTTAGTCCATGAGCGTCTCCTCGATTACGAGCGTGCTTTAAGCTCCCCCAGTGAAGTCTGGGGAGAAACCCCCGGCTGCCGACGTTTTTGGTGCATTTTAAATGTAAAAAATTATATTTCAGAGTGAGAGAACAGTACAAATAATTAGTCTAATGTTACTTTATTTTGTTGCAGGCACATAATCCAAACCATCTCATTTATAGTAAGGGTCGAGAGAAGTTAGTAATACTCTTAACTAAAGGCGTAATTTTCATGGGGGACAAGCCCCCAAACTTATTAAAGGATAGAATTTTTCCCATAGAATACCCTCATGCATATCCTAGCTACAGAAACTGTCCCCCAAACCTTTGAAGCCAAAGTTACCCACTGCTTTTAATGTTATGCACAATGTATAGGATAAAAACATTTGACCCCTACACAGTGCTAAAGTTCATGTGCATCATGACACTTGATTGGTTTATGTACAGTAGTTGCTTTATTTAATTTAGTGGTTAATAATAGTACCATTTTAGTAAGCCCATAAACTTTCTCTCTTTCCACACTGGCTATGAATAATTTCCCCGAAAGGGGGCCGAAGGCCGCAAGGAAGGGTCACCTAGTTTAACCACTCGCACCATTATACAATAGTGTGTTGTCTGTCAGTCGGTCAGTAGACACTAAAATGACTTCACATAAGGGACGCTTAACGTTTCAATTTTTACAGTCGTGACGTCAATAAAACGTGCGCATGCCATGAATCATGAGAAAAATTATTCAGTATGTAGGCTACAACACAGCATGACATATGAACTTCAAAAGTAAGAATTAAAAATATTTGGTACTCTTAATTTTGGTTGTATTCACTCTTGAAACAGAGCACTTTTGAGGATACTGTGGAAGTACATCTAGTAATATTAATACTCGTTTCGAATCCTAAATGACGTTTCGCGACGTTGCGTAATGATGTACTACAACGTAAATGGAGCTGATTACTTTTTAAGAGTAGTCAACGTCTCATACGAATATGAATCAACATATATATGATATTTTACCAGCATTAATCTTTTAAATGTACTGTCAAGTTAGAACCTATTTAGAGCCTATTTAACATCCACCAATTTATGAAACTTTGTAAAGCTTCAAAGAAATGACTACTCATCTTCACAGACTGACATAAGGTCGCAATTTTAAACGTTTACAGAAACACGTCTCACGAGTTTCAGTCAAATAACCTAAAGAACTGGAACCGCAGCGACCCCTACCCTACTTCAAGATTTTAATACTACTCAATATACAAATTTAAATAACTTTAATATTTAGAATTTCGTTTGCTTGTTACTTTAAAAGACTGTTTTTTTGCAGTAGTTTCATCCGACGAGGGAACCTACATATAACTAACCTCCTCTCCCCCCATAATTATTAAAAGAAGGTTAAAAAAAAAGAGTGTAAGCAAACTCTCCAACACAGATCAGCACGCTATTATTATATCTTTATCACGTTGTTATGCCGCACATACATAGATATGAGACCAGGTGTTCTTGAAAAGTTATCTACTATTTCTATTCCATATACCGAACTTATTTAAAATTTCTAAGGTTGGTTCACTGTACTGTGATGATCAAATAACTTATGTAAATACCATACATTGAGAAGTTACAAATAGTATACGTTTACTCTTTGCGAATTCTTACAACGTTTTTTAGTCAGTGTGTATTTAGTCATTCTTTATAGGTTAATATGTATAATAAAATACACGAGAATTTGACAAAGTTCGTATTCGTATAGTTAAAAACTTATTTTCAAATCGACTCGTTTGATTACGAAAGTTTTTTTACTTACTTAAAATATTTCTGTGTGTTCTGTTTATCTGCCTTTCTGCTGATACTCGGTTGTTAGACTAGACTTCGTAATGTAACGCATTTCTGATCCCTGAACAAGCTATGCGCAAAATGTTGCTTCACTGTGAACGTAATGCACGCTCGTTTGAAGAGAGATGACTCTGTATTTATCATTTTGTCGAGAAACATAATGTAATACTGTTTATGACGTCACAGACTTCTTGTCTCCAGATTTATTGATTTAATCAAAACTCGCTAAAAAAAAATGAAAAAAAATCAGTATTTATTTATTTATGCACAAAGCTGCTAAGTAGCTATCTGCGCGTTGTTCGCTGTACGGATTGAACCCAGCTTTTTTAACGTTATAAGCCCTCAAAGTTATCGCTGAGCGATCGTGGAAGGTAGCAAAATGGACAGAAGGGTTCTACACCGTGTCATTTATTTCCAGGGCAATTAACCTAATGAAATACCTCTAATTATAATGTTTACGAAAGTATGTCGCCTATTGTACTTATTTAGTTAGTTGAAATACTTTAACCTTAGGATTACTGATGGATGTTATCGATTAACCAAATTCATTTAGTCTATCGGTTCAAGGTTAGAGACGGTTAAACGAAAATAACCCTAGTCATATGTGTGGCTCTTCGCGAAAATTCTGAAGCAGCTAAACTATTGTTGTTTTTTAAGCTACTTAGGCACCCGGTTGCATGTGGATCCAGTGATTTGTTATTTACAGCTTTACAGAACCCCTAGTAACATATGAGTCACAGAAAAAACTTAAATAAACATAAGAACCCCTAGTAACATATGAGTCACAGAAAAAACTTAAATAAACATAAGAATCCCTAGTAACATATGAGTCACAGAAAAAACTTAAATAAACATAAGAACCCCTAGTAACATATGAGTCACAGAAAAAACTTAAATAAACATAAGAATCCCTAGTAACATATGAGTCACAGAA